GCCCAAAATCCTGCATCGATTTTAAAAATTTTAAAATTGGTCGAAAGATAGCATTCGGGAATCGTACTGATTACTTTTGCAAAGTTTGGTCGTGTCGTTTCTTCGTATTTGTTTTTTTTTGGTAATTTTAGGAAACTTTTTCTGAGGATATAGATCATGATCTGAACATACTAAATATTTTCAGCCTACAACAAGTCGTATTATTTTAAAAAAATCATCGAAGTTTAAAAAAAAGCTAGAATTGCTTTTTGACACGAGTCAAAATCTTTATCAAAATCATTTCTTTATCAGAAAAGTGCAATTTTTTTGTCTACGTTATATAGTTCAGTCATTTGGTAGATTTACCTTAAGAGTTTTGCGGATGTTTTGAAAATTGGTGATTTTATAGATTTTGATGTGATCTTTACGAATTTCAACTTTGCCACCTCGAATTTTTGCCGCTGCCGCCGCTATATTGGAAAAATTGCGTCAAAAATCAGTTTTTCAACGATATCTCCTTTCTGACTTATGTTACGTTAAAACAACTATATACAAAATTAAACTAGACAAAATTTTCTATAATTTATTCAATAACGTTTTTTTCTGTAACATCAATAGTTTTGCGTACGAGCGCCGCAAAGTTTCTGCTGCTCGCGCCACCATCGAATATTCGGCCGCTCTTTGCACTTGAACGCATTCTCTCTAATAAATAAATAATTTCAATGTTGAATTAAGCTTTTCTGCTCAGGTCTAGCCTAGAAATAACATAAATTAATTATTTTTGTTTTTCATTTTTATTTTTGCTAATAATTGAACATTTTAAATCATACAATTTAATGCATTTTTTTATTTTTTTGGCAATATTGATATAAATTTCGGAATATTAAACTATGAAATATTGAATGAACTCAAATTAGAACTGTATATAGGAATAATCTTTGGCGATAATCGTTCCAATAACTCGATTGCAAGGAATAGATTACTGCGTATTGTATATAAGATTATATTATCTTCTAATAACAACACACAACGTCAATTAGCTGCATTTTTACATCTACATATGTATATTATGTTCAGAATCAATAGAAGTATTTTTTCTAGACGTCAGTATATTTTCATCGTTCCGTATACAAGTTTTACTTGCATTTTGAAGCCATGACTGCTAATAACGTGAATTGTTTTATTTGTGAAACTCCATTGCGGGAAAGTGAAGTGATTGAAGTGAAAGAAAGAGGATAGAAGACTTTTCGTAAATCAAGTGCTCAAAAAAAGGACAATAAAAGTAAACTTTCAGAAGGACTAAGGTCAATAGTTGCTCATGAGGTTTGTCGAAAGATCTAAATAAAGTTATTCATATATTTAAAAATCCAAAAGCTGATCCAGAGATCATTGCCAAAGCTGGAGAACGCTTTCTTCTTAAATTGTACGGTTGTAGTGATGAGAGTACCATAAAATATAGATCTTTAAACGTCTTTAGATATGCGTGCTTTACAAAATCGGCATACAAAATTAAATTTAATATTGCATCACTACCACCAACGCAGGCAGCAGCAGCACGACAACATTCATTCCTAATATATCACCAAATTCAGCAGTAGTATGGGAATGAGGTGAATGCAGAACAATGGGGATGGAAAAGAAGCAGAAATGGCCTGATTCCTGTGACCTCAGTCGAGCCTCCAGCTCCGGACACCTTGTTGAAACTGACTTCTTGCAAATGCAAAAAGGGATGTCAGAAAGCCTGTGGATGCAGAAAGGCAGGATTGAAGTGCTCCATTATCTGCACAAATTGTAGTGGAACCTGTAGTAATGCACAAGTTCCATCACAAGATAGTGATCAAGAGGAAGACGCAGATAGTATTTTCGAACAACTTTGCAATGACGATAATCCCATCGCGGATAATATTGAAGAAAGTGCAACCTCTGACATTTCGATTGTCTCTGAAGACGATTAGCTAATAACATATAACCCATCGAGAACATCAAACTGGAGGTAAAAAGTTAATTAAGTAAATTATAAAAAAATCTAGTTTAATTTAATATAAAACTATTCTTACAGACAATTTAAAATTTGCATTAAATTACACATCCAATGATTTAAAATGTTCAATTATCAGCAAAAATAAAAATGAAAAACAAAAATAATTAATTTATGTTATTTCTAGGCTAGACCTGAGCAGAAAAGCTTAATTCAACATTGAAATTATTTATTTATTAGAGAGAATGCGTTCAAGTGCAAAGAGCGGCCGAATATTCGATGGTGGCGCGAGCAGCAGAAACTTTGCGGCGCTCGTACGCTAAAACTATTGATGTTACAGAAAAAAACGTTATTGAATAAATTATAGAAAATTTTGTCTAGTTTAATTTTGTATATAGTTGTTTTAACGTAACATAAGTCAGAAAGGAGATATCGTTGAAAAACTGATTTTTGACGCAATTTTTCCAATATAGCGGCAGCAGCGGCAAAAATTCGAGGTGGCAAAGTTGAAATTCGTAAAGATCACATCAAAATCTATAAAATCACCAATTTTCAAAACATCCGCAAAACTCTTAAGGCAACAGCATTTTTTTGCACGAAATGACTGGGCTAATAGCCCAAATTGTGAACCGGTTTTGAAAATTCTAAAACTATTTTAAAGGTATCATTTTGTAATCGTTGTGAATAGTTTTAGTTCTATATCTTTGTACTGTTTTTTTTCTGGTGGTTATAAATATGTTGATAAAACAAAACATATCCTGAACAGACATTCATACTGATAATAAAAATAGAAAGGAAACTAAATTATGTTCCTAAAAATAACCTTAATCGTTTTCCATACGGTTCGTTCCGTATTTTGACTCTTTTTCAATGGACAAAAACAAAACTATAAAAAAGTTGAAGAGAGAAAAGAGAATAGTCAAAGAAAAAGAGTCAAATTGAGACTCTAAACGTAAACTACACATATTGATTGCCTTTAGCTTATTTTTAAGTACTTATTATTATGTGAGACTTTCATTGGATAAAAATTATAACTTACTGTAAAAAACTTGGCACAGTTTATAGTTAAACAGCTAAAATAGCTCATGATCTGTCATAATTCAAATACGAATGTGATGTGATTCGTATGTGATGAATGAATGAGTGAGTAGTGACATTTAAACCATTTATTTCTTCCGCTTAAGATAAAAGCATTGATATATCATATTTCGAAAATAGAAAATCGGAAATCCAGTGAAAGCAATGAGATCTGGCATCATGTCATACCAAAGGATGGCCGTGACCTAAATAGGATGCTCCCTCTACACGTGCTTTAAATGGGTCACGGGGCTGACTGCTATCGATGTTCCTGTTTTACAAAGCTTAATACAAGCGTCGCTATCGGATTTATGGTTTATTCCTCTACTCGTTATGAATATAAACCAACCAGCCACTTGTTAATGGTGAAGTGATGGAAGATATATATTTTATAATAACGATTTTCTTGAATGAAATGGAATAGAGTTATCGTTTGTTTGGTCTTGCGCTCGTTATAATTTAAATTGAAATATGGAAATAGATAAACAGATTTTAATACTGATCTAAAAGTATATTTCAATCAAATATTATATATTACATAAATACCATAATTATAAACCAGCATAGTAAATATGGATTATTATTTTTTTTTTTAAATTCAGTTTTTTCAAATTTTTCAAAATATTTTTTACATTTTTAAGATATTAATTTTTTTTTTATAATTTTCATAGTCTGAAATATTCTAAAATATAAAAATTTAAATGGAGATTTTCAAAAATAAATGTGAATAATTTGTTAAAAGAACTATTTTCTACTTATATTAATTAAATAGGAATTATATATTTCAAGTTTTTGATTATATAATTATAATTTTGCCTAATATATATTTTGGATATATATTGTCAAGTGAAAATGGACATCGCTACTGCCCGATGTTAGGTTGTCCAGAGCGGGGTTCAAACTCAATACCCCGTCCAAACATGTCCGCGCGTTACGCAATGGAAAATGTATAATTACAAAGACCTTTATGATTATAAAGAGAATAATCTTATATCCTTTGCTTGTTTATAATAAATAATATTGTAAATAAATAAAATGCGGTATTTTATAAAAAAATAGAAAGACTATTAATTTTTCGGAATGTTTTCGACTTTAACTAAAAGACTGAAACTTAATATTCTAGATACGCATAAACAATATTATACGCATTTAATTTATGATTCAAAATATTTTTTGAGTACTTTTTTGACAGAAAATCCAATTTGCTACATTTAGTTTTTTTCAAGTCATTCTAAATCGTTTGAAATCAAAATTGGAAAAAGGTATGTGTATATGTATATGAGCCAAAATTTGTCTTTTGAATCGGCTGCATCTAAAGCTTCTATCAAATAATATCTGTTGGAAGCAATGATGATCAGTTCTTAGGTAAAGATTTTCCAGGTCGTTCCTTTATAATTGTGTAGCTTTGTATGATGATAGAAACCATGATCCTAACAAATATCCTCAAATATTGTAGCCCTACGAAAAGTGGTTTGGTTATGAAAATTCATTCATATGGTTTCGTTATAAATTCAATTGGTTTAGTTATAAAATTCAGTCATGTTGTTCATAATGAGTCGTCATAGCCTTACGAAACGTGGTTTAGTTACGAAAATTCATTCATGGGTTGAATAATGAATGATTGTGTCAAAACTTCAAAATCCTATCTTTAGAATTTTTAAAATAGCTATTTACACATCTGATAGTTTTACCAACTTACTCCAAAGCAAAATGCCACTTACAACAAGTTAAAATAAAGTATTGGATACCAAAAGTTTTCAAATGTTTCATCTGTGCAGAACGCATGGAATTTGAATGCAACCTTGACTTATTTGTAATAGATTTATATAATCTCTTTTCAATACCGTATTGGAGATAACTATATGGTGCATTTATGAGTGTACTTTCAAATACACACGATTAAACATCGATACATTTAAGAGATATATTTATATTTAGTCATTAATTTTCGTTTACTTTGTTTCAGTATGTCACAGAAAAAATGGGCGGTGCGGAAGGCACCAAATTGGATTTGGATTTTATGGACATGGAAAGGGTGAGTTCTTTCGTAGCTTCTATTACTTAACTTTTTTGATTCAATTAATATTTGAAAAAATGATTTCGTGATTTTGAAAAATGAAATCTAAATATAATAATTAACATATATTATACATTATTGCAACCATGTTCTGATCGTTTCTAGAAAATAATTTTACATTACGACAAATGTAAATATTTAAATATCTCAAATATAATTGCATACATTTTAAATAATTATTTTCGCCTAGAAAACGGACGTCACAGTTGAATTAGTTGAAGAGCTTCAGCTAAAAACCAAAGAATATTTACAACCAAATCCAAATGCTAGAGCGAAAATGGCAGCTGTTAAGGGCATTTCAAAATTGTCAGGGCAGGCAAAAACAAATACGTATCCCCAACCAGAAGGCGTGTTGGGAGATTGCATGTTGACATATGGAAAGAAACTTGGCGATGATACAGTTTTTGGTAAGAAACACATATGTTGGAAATATTATGGAATAAATTGAAACTTTAAGCACCCCTAAGGAAAAATTTACTGTACGTAGAACGCTTTAGATCGTTTTTTATAGAAATATACTTTTGGCTTCAGATAGTTGAATCATATCTTATTTTTACCAGTAATAACTTTTTTAGCAAAGCGATTCGATAATGCCATAATGGAGATATTGATCAGTAGAATTAATAGACATGGGAATAATAATATTTACTGTAACTAGTTCAAGAAAATATTATAGAAATTCGATAATGCGATAATGATGAGAAGTAAACGTGATTTTTATATTATTTTCTTAGTTGGATAATCATCATTACTGTATTTATCTGTTTGCTACAATATATTGGTTCCATAAACAGATTTAATCAAGCTTACTGCATAAATTCTTATCTTTTTTCAGTCCAGCTTTTTAAAAACATTATGTAGCTTTAAAATTAATTTTTAAATATACATCCTTTTTGAAAGCTTCGAGACAATGACTGGCAACTTTTTTTTGAACCCCATGTTTGCTTCGTTAAAAATTATTTTATAATTTCCATTTTATGAATAATGTTCACTTAAATACCTACAAATTTTTGCGTAAATATTATTAATATATATTAAATATTATTTAATCTATTTCCAGCATTGGCGCTCATTGAAATGGGTGAAGCCCTCAAACAGATGGCAGACGTTAAATATTCACTTGACGATAATATTAAACAAAATTTCCTAGAACCTTTACATCACTTACAAACCAAAGATCTTAAAGAGGTTATGGTATGTACCCATTATAGTAATGTATATGTCGTGTTTTTAATTTCATTAAATCATTTTCTCTTATATTTTTTATATTAAAAATATAGCATCACAGGAAAAAACTACAAGGTCGGAGACTAGATTTTGATTGCAAAAGGAGAAGGCAAGCTAAAGGTAATAATCTAACTTTTTCTATTATTAGTTTAATTTATTAGTGTTAAACCCTTAATACTTACCTAATACACTAATTTAAACCAATTTTTACCACTCAGTTACTTTATTTTTTATACATTTTTGCTACTGATTTTTTTCGTCACTTCAATATTTTTGTTATTTTTAAGGAAACATTTGAATCACGTTTATTTTCAATAGATATTTTTGTGATTTGACGATTATTTAATAGAAATGTTCATTATACTGGCTGAGGTTTTTATTTTAATTTTATAGCTGATTAAACAACTTTAATAATATTTTTAACAATCTAGCGCGAAGTCCTTATTCGAGTCCTTCTAGAAGTGGGCATGCCGCAAATGGTATGTCCGAGATTATCGTAATTGATTCAATAAATATCTTCTTGAAACATGATTTGAATTTAAACGAATTTAGGAATATTTTTGTAGTCTGAGCCTTGATTTTTTATGGAAACTTGAGTGTAGTTAGCAATTTATATATGATATTCCAAAAAATATTTTTGCAGAAAATATGTTGAAAGCTTTTTTTTAGGTTCGACCATTTTACAGTAGCATTAAATAGTCTTTGGTATGATGCAAACTACTTCTTACAATTACGGTTTTATAATGAAGACATGAAGTATACGCCATGTGTACTTAGCGATTTATAAATTTATCAAGACGTCTTTTTTTATTTTAAATTAAAATTTTTGTGAAACTAAAGATGCCGCCGTATACATTAAGTTCAATGTTTATATATTTATAAAGACATACATATTTCATTGTTAGTTTATTTACTGTTTCATGTTTTAATAAATCATTCTTTCATATTTCTTGCTTTACTTTTGGTATGTAAGGTTAAGTTTTATGAACATACCCGCAATGGTAATATTTTGAATTTTGCTATACATTATTTTCGAAGTTTGAAGACCGTGGACTTATATAGGAAATATTTCCTTCTATGAATTATTTGAGGTGATTTTAAATGCATTGAAGTATGCTAAATTTATAACTGCTGATATTAGATTTTAGTATTTAAAAATTGTAGAATGACATTTTAACATTACAAAACATGCAGTAGTTTTTTGCTTTTAAAATTGGATGCTTTACTGAGTTTGAAATTACAATTTATGTTTATTTGCTTTGTAAAATATTTTGGATGTTTACCTTTATTTTGCAGACAGCTTGTATCACTATTTTATAATTGATAGACACATGTTATGTTTTGTTTTCATTTTTGTAATTAATTCATTTATTGATAGTGAATGCTGATATGGTTATTTTTCTTTATTTTTTTCATGTATCTTGATTTAATTTATGATATGCCAATGGACATGCTGCTTTGTTTTCACACATGACACTTTGACATGCCTGGTCCATAAATGTCGTCAACACAGGATCTCATATTACAGATGATGAAATTCGCCAAGCGGAGGATAAATTTGCGGAGTCCTTGCACCTTGCGCAAGTTGGAATGTTCAATCTACTTGAAAACGATGTAAGTTTTTGCTATTCGGTACTCAAATTGTAATGTAAACAATAATCACCTTCAATAATTATTATTTTTCTAAAATTTAAAATTGTATCAATATTACTGCTTAAAGCATTATTGAAATAGATTCCAATGAATCCCACGTTGTATCGTGTATAATCGCAAATGATTAAAAAAATATATTTAATATTATCCAGGTAGAACAAGTTTCACAATTAGCAACGTTTGCCGAAGGACTTTTGGACTACCATCAGCAGTGCACAGAGATATTAAAGAACTTAACAGAAACTCTTCTAGAAAAGTATGTAAAATGTTTCTTTTTTCTTGTAGTTCAACTCGAACATTGTTATATTTAAAATAACTGGGAAATTGGTATTTATATATTTTAAGAATAGTTAGATTACACTTTTGTATTTTATTTTTCATGACGTTTTCAAACATTAAATTTGTTCATTTGGCGGCAAATTTGTTCAATATTGTTGGAAAAACATACCACCTAAAGTTGTTAATATTATAAGGGCGTTAATATCATAATAGTGGCTGAAATAGTAGAATTCCCTCTATACCTAACACTGTGAGTTTGTTACAAACATGAAAGGTTTATTATTTTAATATTGATTGGGCTCGTTACCAGCAATGTACTTTTTTTAATGAGTTGAACAAAAGAATTAATCTCTGACGATAACTGTTTTAATACGAGTTCCTCATAACTAGCTAGTACATGAATGACACACTGTGTTCGAAGTAAAATTATTTTACCTTCTAGAAAGATACACAATATTTCGTTAAATATACATTGATGTTCACAGATCTTTTCTTTTCACTAAACTACATAGAAATTATATACAGAAATACAAAAAATAATCCGAACCACTTGTATAAATATGCATAGGCTGCTTATTTTGCAGCCTATATAATGGCCTATATATTATCTAACATCACATAACTGGGTACATAATTAACCACTTAATGCACCAATTTAAAAAAAATATTGGAAAAAACTAATCATATTTTTCTTATTATTACAATGTATTTAAAATGCTATTACTATACATAAAAGATTTAAAAAAAGTGTAGCTTAGTTTATAATAACAAATGAAGGAATCGATGTAAATGTAATTATATTTAAAGTATTGAAGTTAATGAAACTTGTTTACATTAATATATATAGTAAAATAAATTACATTTTTTATACATTTCTTTTGGTGATCTGATCGTCCAACAAGTTCCGATCAGTTTAAAAATTCCTATGACCGAACTAACTGAGCACGGCCGTAAGCATTAAGTGGTTAATGCTACGAAATTTGCCTACTGTCAGAATGTAATTTTATATTATAAATAGGTATGTCAGATTCATTCAAAAATGAATCTTTCTTTTTTTCAGAAAAGAGGAAGCAGCAAGCCGACCGAAGATGGAGTTTGTGCCGAAAACTCTAGCGGATTTGCATATCGAAGGCGTTTTAGAAGGTGGAGTAAATGGTGGGAGACACACGCCCTCCTCCGGTTCCCTTTCTAATCCCTACGGCTCATCTAATAATATTTCATTGTTCAATAGCACACAAAATAATCAAAACAATAGCAGTCAGAGATTTACGTCTTCCTCGAGTAATATTTCTAATCAGAATAACATAAGAAATACACAAATGACGACAGGATCTCATAGGATAATTGGTTTCAATCCTAGTATCATTAATAATTCCAATAGCAACGGTAGTAATGGCTTTTCAAACAATAAGAATAATTATAACAACTCGACAAATAATGATTTAATGAATGGATGGGACGCATTTCAAATGCCACCGCCATACCAGGCTAAGAATAAAAATAATGTTCATGATCCATGGATGACAGGTTTGTTTATTTTTAGTTGTTTTAATTTATTTTTATTTGAGTTTAGTTTTTAATTTTATTTTTGAACCAACGGTTACATTTATGATGAATAGAACATATATTATTGGGCATCTAATCGGCCATATCTATTTTTTTTAAATTAATTTATTATACTGATATAATTTTATCAATTTTGATATTCCGTTTTATTAATGCTATTCTAAATTTATTTGACAAATCATTTTGAAAATAATTGATTTTATAATTAATCAATTCACATGTTTTAGTTTAATATTTATTATATTTTATAGTTAATCATTTTTACTTTCAAAACTCAAAATTGACTAACAATTTGGATTTAATCAGTTATTTTTTATTTTGTTTTATTCATCATATTGTCAGGTTTATTGTGTGTTTAATATAATTTATTTTAATTGTGTTTGAATGGTCTATGTAGTAGTATCTGTATATATCCTACTGATTGTAAAATTCAAATTTGTGGATATCACAGTTTCCATATATATCCCTGCACTTTGATAGTATTGCTATAAGATTTTATAAATATACTTTTATAGCAATGTGGATATTTTGTCACCAAAACTGCTTTATTTATACTGCGAAACAGGAAGTTTTATTGTTAATGCTGTCCGGAACAGTTTTGTACATACAAAAATCAATCATTGCCCAAATTATTTAAAATTTGGCGAAGAAACAAGATAAAACAGAAATAAGTTAGTAATTTACATAAGTGTACTTAAAAGTTGAACGACAAATTTAACAGCAATGCACATTTCTTTTTAATTACGAATGTAGACGAATATAATTTTTCATGAGAAATAGTAAAACTTGAACTTTTTGAAAGTGTGGCGGTTTCTGATGTTGAGGAATTTTTAAAGCATTGTTTGATTTAGTTTCTCAAATCTTTTCAGCATAATGCATATAGCAGAAACGCAATTTACTCGATGTGTAAAAAAATTATTGAATTTATAAAGCAATCATTGTATGATATATGTGTGAGATTAATGATTACTACTTATTTCTCATTTATTTTTGCTTATTTTTTGGAAATCTTGTAGTTTTATTTTATATTTTACAAAGCTTTGTTTGAGGTTGGTGATTTGTTCTGTTTTGTTTTATCAATAGAGGGATTCATGAACACTATTTTTAAAAAATCTTATCATTAAAGCACTTTTGCTATTTGGCTTATTCAAAATACAAGCGCTTGTTAAACATTATTAAAACATAGCAGAAAATGTTAAACTTAATAATAAACAATATAAATGAATTTATATTTTAACTCGATAACCTTTACTTTGATAAACTAATGACTAACTAATGATATTTATTCATATTTCATAAACCAGAATTTTTTTCGTGTATAATAAAATTGATTACATTATCATCGACAATAAGATTTTCACATTTAATATTAGTTTTATTCCAAAAAGTATCATTACTTGTTGTGTTGTTGAGTTTGTCTTGTTAGTCCAGAATTTAAATGTACTATTTGAATGATTATAAGACAGTTGAACGAATTTAATTTGAAACCTGAAAGGGACATATGGTTTGTGGTAATATTTCTAGTTTTTATTTTTCGGTACATTAAAGTAACGTAAGAAAATGTATTGCAATACTTTTTCTTATGCTTTTAAGCCTTACGTATTACGTGATTATCAAATGTCATTTAAAATTGGAAGTAATTCTCTACCATATACCAGATATTAAATAGATAATTTTTTCTTTCACTCTAACACTGAGCAAATTTTAAGCACTATTGCAGGTTTACGAACATAATTAAAATTTTAGTACTCTAATCGCAGGCGATCTGCGTGTATGAGTGTCAATATAGACATATTACGTCACTCAATAAGTCCGTAGGATAACACATAGATGATGTAGCTATGTAATCTTCCATATGATTTGTAGAAAGTAACAGCTTCAAGAAGATATATGTC